GGTCTCCCTGTCGATGGTAAGGCCGTTAACGGGTCGGTTCAACAACTCAATTCTGTGTGAAGAATTGTTGGGCAGGGATATGGTTGAAGATGGTGGTGCGAGAGGTCAGGGTATACTACTCACTGAGCTTAAAAATCATTATGCAAGTTTGGAATTAAACAAAAATTCCTTCGAGCAAGACAGGGCAATAAAAGCTAGAACTTATCTAATGATACTATTTGGAACCTTTTTATTTCCCGAAAGTACGGGAAATAGTGTAAATTTTATGTATTTACATTTACTTAGAGATTTTGAAAAAACAAGAAAGTATAGTTGGGGTTCTGCAGTTTTAGCCCACCTATACAGTTCCTTGTGCAAAAATGCAGTCAGGAAAAAATATACATTTTATGGCTGCGCTTTTTTACTTCAATCCTGGGGTTGGTGGAGGATGGAGTCCTTAAACCCCGTCAATAACAACACATTCGTTTTTCCGTACGCAACAAAGTAAGTCATCAAGTTATATCATTTATTACTATTTATCTCTTCACCAAATATATGCTAAAAATAAAATGATTTTCATTTCCTTTAGGTATTGCGTGAGGGGTATGGATTACGGCAAGAATCCAAGATTCAATGTCGCACTATACCGTAATCTGTTGGATCACTTAGGCCCGAATGATGTACGTCGTACCTTTCAACTTTTCTTCATTTAAATTATTTATATATTACATTTTCATTAACCTGATTTAATTTTTTGTGCAGTTTGTCTGGAGACCATATTTGGGTTTGGGCCATGAACTAAACCCCGAGGATGCAGCAATTTGGAGCGCCAAGACTGCAATCATACGGTTCAATGTTGTCGAGATGCACCACAGCGACCGCGTGAAGATGCAGTTCGAAATGCATCAAGAGATACCAAGTGATTCAGCTTGTTTGTCCCCGTGGCATCTTAAAAGGGTCGACGCCCAGTGGGGTCTTACCAACTGGAAAGACTTTGCTCCAGAATGGTGTAAGATGTGGCAGAGGCATCACCGACATGTCTTGCAATTCCCGGTTTTCCTCAATCATGATAATATGCGACACACAGATCAATATTTATCTTGGTACATGTCGGTTAGTAACCCTGAAATGCACGTGTCTCATCCAAGATATTTGGTTGACCCACGAACATAATGGGCACAACCCTCATTTCCCCAACAACAAACCCAACACACATCAACCTCCCACCATCCCCCCAGACGAAACAGAACCACAAACACCTAACCACAGTCCCCACCACAACACAATTACACCCAAATGCCCCACAACCAACCACAATCACCACCTCAGTACCAATACCCCCATATGCCTCACACCCAACCGCAATTCCAATCACAATACCAACACACCCGCATACCCCACACACAATTTCAGTCTTCTGTATATTCCAATATGGGCCCCTCAACATCCAGCCTTAGCCCTGATCTAGGAATGTCGGAAGATTATGAACTAAACGACCTAACTTACCATCAACCATAGTATCACCAAACCACCCAACATCCTCAATACCAAACACCCCAAGATCCATTTCCTTTCTACCCCTCGTACTCGGACGATTAATGCTACAGACCCACCATAGAACCCCACCCACCCCCAACACGACCAAACTTTGAGGGTATGGGTAACCGATTGTACCAAAGCAGATCTTCTAGATATGGAGATCTGACTGATTTCATGGATCCGGAACGCATTGACTTCGCTGGGCCATCGACCCTACCACATCAGGAAACACGACGACATCCAGCACGGGAAAGGCGAGGACGGGGATGCGGAACCGGGGGTCATTACCGGGTTCCAGGGGACCACTGATTTATCTGTTTTTTTATGTAATACTTATGGGTGTAATCATTTTTTTAAATAAAAAGTCAATTTTGTTGATCCTGTATCGAATACGCAATGCACCAGATTGAAAAAAAAACGCGAAAATTACCTTAGAAATGCACTAAGGCGCCATCTCACTTGGCTTAGGGCAAGTCCTAAGCACCTAGGCGCCAAGTGAGATGGCGCCTCTCCTTAAATAATGGGTGTAGGCGCCAAGTGAGATGGCTCCTCCTTTGGGAAGTCATCTGAAACATGGTTATTTGCAAAAAAAAAATTTAATACATGATTATTCAAAAAAAAAAATTCAAATAATTATTGAGATATATATCAAAACAAAACAGGGATTGAATTGAATATTGTATAAATATTTAATATCTTTACATAAAATGCGAGTTCAAATGAGCAATGTGAAGATATTTAAATATAAGAGATAAAACTCGAGTTTAAATCAATGTTGTAAAGATATTTTATACACGGAGATAAATGCGAGTTCAAACAAGTGATGTTAAGACATTTGATACTAATGATGCAGATATATTTGATATATCGAGACAAAATATGAGTTTAAATTAATAATGTAGAGATATTTGATATACCAAAACAAAACACATATTTAAACAGAGACAAAATGCGGATTCAAATGAGACGTTGAGATATTTGATACGTGTGATGTAAAGACATTTGATAAGAGCGAATGGAAATTTAGTTCAAAGGAATTATTTTCCGCTTAAATATTCAATGTATGTAGATTTCTCCACTTAAATATAAAATAACTTTTTTATTACTCACTTAATATAATTTAAATAAATTTACTATATTGCCAAATACACATGGGTAGAATTGAGATTTTTTCTATAACTAAATTCAAATGATAAAGAATTGTAGAGATAAATCGAAACAAAACACGAATTGCATTCAATAATGTATAATATTTAATATATGAGTTTAAATGAACAATGTAAAGATATTTAAATATAAAGACAAAACTCGAGTTCAAACTGGTGTTGTAAAGACATTTATATATTGAGACAAATGTGAATTCAAACAAGCGAAGTAGAGACATTTGGTATAAGTGATGTAGATACATTTGATACAAGTGATGTAGATACATTTGATATATCGAGAAAAACGTGAGTTCAAATCAACAATATAGAGATATTTGATATACCCAGACAAAACACAGATTCAAATTGAAACAATGCAGATTCAAACGAGACGTTATAATATTTGATATGAGCGATGCAGAGACATTTGGTATGAGCAAATGAAAACCTAATCCAAATGAGCAATTCTCCACTTAAATATCCAATATATGTAGATTTCTCCGCTTAAATATAAAATAAATTTTTTATTGCTCACTTCATATAATATAAACAACTTTCCTATGTTGTCAAATACACATGGGTAGAAAGAGATTTTTTTTCCTACAATTGAATTGAAATGATAAAAAATTATAGAGATATATTGAAACAAAACTCGAGTTCAACTGAACAATGTATACATATTTAATATACAGAGATAAAATACGAGTTTAAATGATGTGCAATATAGAGATATTTAATCTACAAAGACAAAACTCGAGTTTAAAGCCAACACTGTAAAGACATTTTATACATCGAGATAAATGTGAGTTCAAGCGAGCGATGTAAAGTCATTTGATACGAGTGATGTAGATACATTTGATGTACTCAGACAAAACACAAGTTTAAATGCGTAATGTACAGATATTTTTACAAAGACAAAACTCGAGTTCAAGCCAACAGTGATGTAAAAACATTTTTACAAAGACAGAACTCGAGTTCAAGCCAGCAACGATGTAAAAACATCTGGTACATCAAAACAAATGCGAGTTCAAACGAATGATACAGAGACATCTAATACTAGTGATATAGATTCAACTGATATTCCAAAACAACACGAATTCGAACGATCAATGCAAAGATATTTAATATATCGAGACAAAACACAAATTCGATCGAACAATATTGAAAGATTTATCACAAGCGTTCCAGAGATATTTAATACGAGTGAATGAAAACCTAGCTCAGAGCAATTCTCCGGTTAAATATTGAATGCATGTGGATTTTTCCTTTGAGAAAAAAAGGATTTGACTTCATATTTTTTCAAGGCAAGAGAGAGAATGAATATAAGCAAAAAGAAAGAGTGAAGAGAATTCAATCAGATCGAATACAATCTTGACGTCCGCAATGACTTTTTCTCGCTCTTGTTTCTCTCTCTAAAAACACACACTAACCACTTAGTAGCAGAAGCAGCTACAACATAACAGAACAAGGCGTTTCACTGAGATTGAAGATGCTGATAAATAACTCCCAATTCTCCTACTACTACTACTCTCATAAAACCCTAGATAAGTAATGGATGCCAATTCAATACCCAACTCGAAAGTTCGAAACTTTTTGCTCCCTCTCAATTCATTGATCACTTCTCATATTCTCTAGCTCTTCAATTTCTCAATTTTCGTGTCTCTGTGAGTTATACTGATTCTCAATTTATGCTTTTATTATGTGTGTCTTTTTGACTTCTCGGAATTGTTTTGTTTTCTTTCAATTGAGGTTCAGTTTTCTTTTTTTGTGTGGGAGAAATGGTGGTTTTGTTCTGATGATAGCGCCTTAATTTGATTGAAGTTGATTCGTTGTTTTTTTTTTAATAATTTTTTAATCGGTTGTTAATGTGATATTGAATTATTGTTACCATTGTTGATTGAAATTTTGATGATTTTGTTTATCTGTTTGTTGGGATATTGTTTGTGTTTTGTGCTGGTTGATGGGTTGGATCCAAGAAGTCATTTTTTGTACAGAGATTCAAGTGAAACGTTTGAAGGTTTCTCATTTACCGAAGTAGTGTAATTGTAATATTATGAATAATGAATCAAACGTTGTTTCTTGGTTTTCTTTGTTCTATGGTTTGTGTTTGGTAAAGTTTAATACCCAATGTTTCCGTTGAATTGAATCACTGTAAAGAATTTGAAGTTTTTTGGCCTTGGACTTTTGGTTGAACATTGTCTGGGTTGAGTTTTGGTATGCCCATTTTCTGACGACTCGCCATGTCATGCTAGTTTGTTCTTGTTGAAATCATGTTATTATGTTGAAAAACATTCATTGTTCTGCTTAGGTGATTGTTGGAAGACCAAATTTTGAAACATGGTACCTCCGGGTCCAGGCCCATCACCTCCCATTGGGGGTGGTCCTCAGTCTCTCTCACCTTCACTAATGAGAACAAATTCAGGAATGTTGGGGGCTCAAGGGGCACCCATGTCTTTGCCGTCGTCTTTCCCTTCGCTTGTGTCTCCTCGTACTCAGTTCGGCAACATGAACATTCTAGGGAATATGTCTAATATGACTTCTATGCTGAATCAATCTTTCTCAAATGGAGTTCCGAATCACGGGCTCACGGGTCAAGGAAGTAGCCAACGTGGAGGGATTGAAAGTGGAGCTGAAGCAGGCCAACTTTCTAGTGTTGGCAATGGATCGAGCTTCACTACTTCTCCATCCTCATATGTACAAGCGAATATGGCCAATGCCAGTTCCTCTGGTCAAGTTCAGGGTCAACCATTTTCCAACCCTTCTAGCAACCAACTGTTGCCAGATCATCAGCATTCTCAACATCTTGATCCTCAAAATTTTCAACACAGCCAGCAGTCAATGCAACAGTTCTCTTCTCTGAATAATCAGCAGCAACAGCATTATCAATCAATGCGAGGAGGAATAGGTGGAAGTGGAATGGGACCAGTGAAGTTAGAGCCCCAGGTAAACAACGACCAACTTGGACAGCAACAGCTGCAATCAATGAGGAATCTTCCTCCAGTCAAATTGGAACAACAACAAATTCAAACAATGAGAACTCTGGCACCAGTTAAAATGGAGCCCCAGCATTGTGATCAACCGTTATATTTGCAACAACAACAGCAACAACAGCAACAACAATTCCTCCACATGTCGCGACAATCTTCTCAAGCTGCTGCTGCTCAGATTAATCTTTTGAACCATCACAGGCTTTTGCAGTTTCAACAACACCAGCAACAACAACTTTTAAAGTCAATGCCTCAACAACGGTCTCAATTACCACAACAATTTCAACAGCAGAATATGCCTGCGAGGTCTCCTGTGAAACCAGCATATGAACCGGGGATGTGTGCAAGGCGGCTGACACACTATATGTATCAGCAAAAACATAGACCAGAGGTAATACTTTATCTATATATTGGCTTCGTTCTGTGTCTATCATATACTCTATTAACAATAACTTTTGCACTTGGGTTTTATATAGGATAACAACATTGAGTTTTGGAGGAAGTTTGTTGCTGAGTATTTTGCTCCTAATGCTAAGAAGAAGTGGTGTGTCTCTATGTATGGATGTAGCAGACAAACAACTGGAGTTTTCCCCCAGGTCCGTTACCAAAGAAAGCCTTACAATCCAGTTCTAATATCTGGATAACCTTGTCTAAGTTCGTAACTTAATTATTGAATGGCATGCTTAACTGTACTATGCTCTAGTGTTGGTATCTTGACTCTATTTTTGTGATTGCCAAATTGATATGTCTCAGGACCAAGTAACTAATACCTACAGTATTGTCTTAAATGTTGCCATGAATATTCTATAGTATTCAAGAAGCCAACTATAGTGGTCTCATTGATGCTAAGCATTAGTTTTAGCTAAATATGGATTCTTTGAATATTTTCAGGATGTATGGCACTGCGAAATATGTAATCACAAACCTGGCCGTGGGTTTGGTAAGTTTTATTTTCTCGAGGTTCTTTTTCTGCATTTCATTATTCAGTCCATTTCTATTCTTCACCGTATGAATGTTGGCCTCTTCACTTTTTCTATTAAACATATCTGTTATTTATTTGTTACAAATGTCATTCTGTTGCACTATCCTCCTTCTGACTATATGTTTTTTCTGGGTTTTCAGAAGCAACTGTTGAGGTTCTTCCCAGGCTTTTCAAAGTAAAGTATGACAGTGGCACTCTGGAAGAGCTACTTTATGTTGACATGCCCCGCGAATATCATAATTCCTCTGGCCAGATTGTTCTAGACTATGCAAAAGCAATACAAGAAAGTGTCTTTGAGCAGCTTCGTGTTGTTCGTGATGGTCAACTTCGTATAGTTTTCTCTCCAGACCTGAAGGTAGCGTACAGAAAATTAAAACATTCAAATTATGTTGAAAATGATTACATGGTATTATCATTGTTGGCATCCTCTATATGAAAAAAAGTTTAATCGACATTCTTTTGTTTATCATTTCTTTTGCAGATCTGCTCTTGGGAGTTTTGTGCTCGGCGCCATGAAGAGCTCATCCCCAGAAGACTGTTAATACCCCAGGTTGCTGATTAAGTTGTTGCATCATAAATGAAAGTTTTGAGATTTTTATTTTATAAGATATTTGCCATAGATTTAATAATCCTTGGTTTTGTTGATAGTTAATTAGTTATTATTTTGCGAGGAGTACTTTGTGTAATGCCGGTGTTATATCGTAGATATTTTAATGGCGCAGAGTTTGGCTATATATTAACATGTACACTCTGATTATTCATTCTTATTATTACTTCATTTTTATTATCCACAGATTAGTCAGATTGGAGCGGTTGCCCAGAAATACCAGGCTTTAACTCAAAATGCAACGCCCAATATTTCTGCTCCAGAGTTACAAAATAATTGCAATATGTAAGTCCCTTTAGCCAAACATGTCAAAATTATAACTAGAATATGTTCCTAATAATTACTTATAATTATTAACTATAATGTAACTTCCTTGTTCCGCGACCATGTTATGAGCCATGGCTTATTTCCTTTTGATTAAGGATTTAATGTGAATGTTTCTCAATGCTCACCTCTTCTAGTAAAATATGTTCTTCTGCCATTTTTTCTACTCTCTTTTTATGTTGCGGCCCTTTTTGGTGGTTTACCACTGTGTATATAGACCTATTTGCTGGTATTTATTTCATTTCTCATTAATGCTACAGTTTAGCTTGCAAGACTCCTCTCTCTTGATCTCTATTTGGTCTAACTTAATTAGGGTTGCTTTTTGTTGTATGTTTCTGTTTTTCTTTTAATAACGCTATATCCTTCTTTTCCAGGTTTGTTGCGTCAGCTCGTCAATTGGCTAAAACCCTAGAAGTTCCATTAGTTAATGATTTAGGATATTCAAAGACATATGTGCGCTGCCTACAGGTATGTTTCATTCATATGACATTGCTTATAGTATTGTTTTGATCTTAAGTCTACACATTAACGAGAAAATATGCATCGCTTTCCTTTTTAATGTTTAAAGTGACATTTGGTTTGTGTGGAACTACTGTATCTTTTGTTGCGCCATCACCAACCTTATTTGAAATGCTTATTTGGGATATTTGCGAACAAATCACCCCACTCGACCTTGCTTGTTTTGAATAGGGAATCCTTGTTTGGGTTTCTATGGCATAATATGACTGCAAAATATATAACAGTCTCTAAATTCTGCGTACTATATTTTCCTGAATCAATCTCTTAATAGGGTCTTCTCTCAAGAGATGACTTGTCTTTTTGTATTTTTTTTGTGGTGAGTGACTGTCATGGAATACACATCAGGAATTCTTGCCATTTGTACAAAAAGAGAACGACAAATCCCTCTTTTCTTTTTATTGTTTTCTTGCCTCATGCTGCAGCAATTGTTTTTTCCTTAGGAGCTAACCTAGAGGTTGTTTTTTTCCCAATGAACTCTACTGTGGAAACATGACAAATTTCGTTGTATACACTTTATGATGCAGATATCAGAAGTGGTAAATAGCCTGAAAGACTTGATGGATTACAGTAGAGAAACAGTGACGGGACCTATGGGTAAGTTAATAATTTAAGTGGCTGATTTCTACTGCTTATATAGATATGAACGCCACAATTAAACAATGTTTTATTTAAAGAGTGTTCCACTGTGTTTGACCAGACCTGTGTGAGCGTGTGTGTGTGTTTTATTGTTATATTAATAATTGCTGCCAGCTGTTTGATCGTTCTGATAGGGACTGATTTAATTTTTCTGCTTTATTTTTTACCTTCTTTCAGAGAGCTTGGCCAAGTTCCCTCGGAGAACAGTTAATTCATGCGGAGTTCGTAATCAAGCTCAACAGCATGAAGATCAGTTAAAACTACAGCAGCAGCAACAACAAATGATGATGCATAACTCAAATGGAGATCAAAATCCAGTGCAAGCTGCTGCCATGCAAATTGCATCCAGCAACGGTATGGTTAGTGTAAATAGTTCTGTCAACTCAGCGTCTGCATCAACAACCACAAGCACTATTGTTGGACTTCTCCACCAAAACTCTGTAAATTCTAGACAAAATACAATGAACAATGCAGGCAGTCCATATGGAGGTTGTTCTGTTCAGATTCCATCTCCAGGTTCCTCCAGTACTGTGCCACAGGCCCAGCCAAATTCATCCCCTTTTCACTCACCACCGACACCATCCTCATCTAATAACCCTTCACAAACACCTCGTTCTACTTTAACGCCTCCCAATCAAATGAATACAACAAATTCAACAGCTAATGTTTCGCTCCAACAACATCAATATCAATCAGCTCTTTCTGGTGATGCTGACCCAAGTGATGCTCAAAGCTCAGTCCAGAAAATCATACAGGAGATGATGATGTCCTCGCAGATGAATGGTACTGGAGGAATGGCAGGTGTTGGTTCTCTAGGAAATGACTCAAAGAATGCAAGCAATAATCTGCCAATGAGTGTGAATGCAGGGCTCAATAATGGTAATGGCACACTGAACAATGATCCAGGTGCTGGTAGTTATGGAATGATGGGGTTCGGTCAATCCACTATGCCTAATGGAATGCGAGCTGCTATGGTAAATAATTCAATCACGAACGGAAGGGGAGGAATGGCATCCATTGCGCGGGATCAAGCTATGAATCATCAACAGGATCTGTCAAACCAGTTGCTTAGTGGTCTAGGAGCAGTGAATGGTTATAATAATCTTCAATTTGATTGAAAATCTTCTCTTTCCATGGTGTGGTTTTCGACATCTGCTTGTTCTACATTATTAGCAATCATAGAATTGCATTCTGCAGAAGGTTTCAGCAGAATGCAATTGAGTAGTGATAGGGGCCAATATAGGATTTTATATAAAAGAATTTAGAAATGAAAGTTTGATGGCTGGTTGTGTGGCTTATGGGGCTGATTTTTTCTTGTGAACTCAAGTGTAACTTTGTACTTTAATTTCTGCACTGTCATGGCTTTTTTTTACAGACTCGCCATTGATAAACACATAATCGAGAAAGGTAACAAGTTTTGTCCTACAAAATGAACCTGTTGTGTTCTTGAGAGTAATTAGATATCATCCCAAGCAATCATCAATTTGAAAGTAAACAGCATTCAAACATTGAAAGAAGTCTGTTTATCCAATGTAAACTTTACAAAATGATGAAAAATAAAAGAAATATACAAGGATTATTCAATGTGTTGAATCCATAGATTGAAACATAACCCTTACATATAGTGATGATAAAGATACAAACTACCTTTTGCCTTGTAAGACATGGAAAAAAGAATGTGATAAAATGAAAATCAGCAATGTCACATTTTTCATTTCTTCCATCCCATTCCATCCATTTCTGATATTATAATGCATGTCATAAGAGTATCATTTTTTATTCTCAGTTCATGCATCAATATACTTCGCAACTTTTTCAGACAGAGTAGCCTTAGGAACTGCACCGATTACACTGTCTTTTTTCTCTCCATTCTTGAAAAACAGAACAGTTGGTATGCTTCTGATGCCATACTTTGTTGCAGTGTTTGGAGATTCATCTGTGTTGAGCTTGTAACACTTAATTTTTCCAGCATATTCTTTGGCTAATTCATCGATTATAGGCGCTATCATTCTGCATGGACCACACCATGGTGCCCAAAAATCTACAAGCACAGGCGTTTCACTTCCAATCACAAGTTCATCCCAGCTTGAGTCATTTACTACTTGAACTGCCAAATTTGAGCAAGTACATGAGTTACTTCACACATATACACTTACACCACACACATGACCGTCGTTGAAAGTGTGCAATGTGAACTGTCACAGGATCCAAAATTTGTCACAGTAAAACCATAGATAAATAGGGTATCATAAAAATATTTGTCACAATTAAACCGCATCTAAATTTTTCCTAGTTTGAACTGTGGCTAAAACTTAAAAGGGCTCTGACCACACCTATTCCACGCTTGAATTGTGGCTAACTTACACAGCGTCTCCAAAAACTAAACACTCTGAGCACACATATGTCAAATTCAGAGATTATAGCAGTACAAATAATGCAAAGATAATGTTTATGTCTATCTAGCCACAATATTCTGATGAATTTTTTGATACTAAACTATTCATAATGAAAAGTTAAAACCAGAAAACAATGTTAACAAGGTGCAGAAAAGTGTACCTTCATTTACAGCTTCACGAGCATTGCAAACAAAACGAGATTTTCTATAAGCAACACCAGATGGAAGTGAAACTGTTGAGTTCAGCACAGATTTCTTGAATCCTACCTTTTGAGTTGAGAAAACAAGCTTTCCTCTTGAAGATGAAAACAGTGGAGGAAGACAATGAGGTCTTGGTGTGGAAACTCTTAAACAACTCTCAAGGGCCATGTTGTTACCTTTTTTTGTGTGTGTGTGTGTAACTGAGTAGTTTGTGGAAAATGAAGTGAGGGTTTTCAGTACTTGTTGTGGATAAGCTTCTAGTGTTGTGGTGGTTTTTAATTTGTTTGGTATGAAATTGTGAAGTGTGGATATTGTTGGAGATTGTGAGGTTATGAGATGGCTTGGATTCATGTGGATGGCATTTAGGTTTTCAAACCTCTCTCTACTTTTTGTCCCACTAAAAAGTACTTGTACGCATCATATAAAACTCCTTTTTGGGGTGTTTTATTACACATTTTAGTAGGGAGGTAAATAAAACTTTATGTTGGAACATGTCCATGTTTCAATATGTTGAATTTAAAAAATTTTCAAGTCTCACATTGTTAGAATATTTTTTTGGTTGAAAAAACCATTTAGTCCCACATTGCTCATGTGAGAAATATTAACTATTCTATTTTACTATATAAAGAGTGCATATGTTTCATTCTAAATCACACCAAAAACTATTCTATTAGTTTTTCCTTCCTCACTCTCATAACTATGCGTCTCTCGAATTGTCGAAGCGCCATCTTCTTCTCCTTTCTTCCTACTCGTTGAATTTTCTGAGTATTTTCTTGAATTCTCTTTAGAGAATTATGTTAATTTCTCCTCATTTGAGTTGAGAAATTTTCAAGTTTCAAGTTTAATATTTTGGGTTCTCTTTGGAGAATTATTTGAATTTCTCTTTGTTAGAGAAATTATATTCTCTTTAGAGAATTATATGAGTTTCTTTTTATTTGAGAAATTATTATGATTGGTCTCTGTACCAGATATTATGAGTGGTGTTGATACCATATTTGAATGGACCGATTATCTATCATGCAAGTAGTAATCGTACAGTATAGAAAAGTAGTAATCGTACAGTATAAAACTAGGTTGTTGTTTTATCCTGGAGGCGGCGCGGTAGTTTGACTGCTTTGCATAATTTTGAGCAGTACCGTGAAACGTCTTAAAGAGAGCGACCTAGTCCGCGACTCAACCTGGTAATTTCTTCGGTGACAAATATTTTAAAATCCAAAACCAATAATTTTAAGACGTTTCAAACTGCCATGGTACCGAAGAAATTATTGGTTCTTTTGCGGATATTGTCGTTGAGAAATCGTTCATGTTTGAGAGAAGTCACTTCAAACGTTGACAACAAAAGATGAAGTTCTTAATGTTGAAAAAAGTTGTTAACGTTTTGATCGATGACATTCTGTTGCTCCTTCTGGATCAATCGAACAAACTAACGGTAGTAAATCTGGAGATTTAGAAGGAACACTTAATAGTGTTGAAGTTGAATCTACTGCACAGATTAAAGCGAATGATTTACAGCATAGTAAAGAAATCACCTTATAGAAAGAGAATGAAAAATCTCTACAAAATCATATTTTGAATAGACTCGCAGATGATCTGTATGATAATTACAGTTGATGTGATACTGCAAAACAAGATTAAGAGACTTAGAAAAAGAAGTATGACATAGAAGCTAGAGCAAAGAAGTACGTTGTTAGCCGCTACTTCAAGTATCAAATGCAAAGATGCAAGGTCGATGGAGGCTCAATGTTACGAACTTCAAAAGATTGCTTAAAAGATCATTACAAAAGATATGTGTTTAAATGAACAATTTCAAATTGGTTTTATTATTGATAAACTACCCCCACATTTTGAATGTTTAAAAAACACAAAAAAGGAATCTTAGAGACAATATCAAAAAGAAAAAGTCTTGGTTGTTTCAAACAACAAAAAGAAATTTGGTGTAGTTCTAAAGCCATTTGGCAAATGATTAAAGAATCAGAACCACAATATTGTGAACCGAATTAAGAATGGGAATCCTTCTATGATCCCAATAGCTCCAACTAGGCAACAACCACCACCTAAAAGAAATGACGTTGGTTTCTCTTTGTTTTAACTATGGAAAATTAAGTCATATGACTAAGAAATGTAGAAGTAAGGTTGAACTTCGTATTGTCCCTAATGCACAGGTCAACCTGACTAATGAGAAATTTATTGCTATGGTCATTGAAATCAACATGGTTGATAAATATATTGGTTGGTGAATAAACACTTGTGTCTCTCGTTGTGTCTGTTACGATCGTGTTATGTTTAAACATACATGAATACTAAAGATAAGAAAGTGTTGTTAGGAGATAGTCAGACCACATATATTGTTGGAATTGTAGATATGGAGCTAAATTTCACCTTCAAAAAGACTTTAATCTTAAGGAACGTTATTCATGTTCCTAAGATTAGAAAGAATATTGTTTCTGGTTTTCTTTTAAATAAGACATGGTTTAGTCAGTCTATTGGGGTAGATTTGTACGCCATTACGAAGAATGAAGTTTATATGTTTAAAATTTTTGTAAAGGATTTGAAAATGATATAATAAGAATTTACAGTGATAGAGAAACTGTATGATTTTAGTTTATTAATGAATTTTAGACATGGAATTGTACATGAAACGACTGCACCATACTATCTTGCAATGAATGGTAAAATAAAAAGAAAGAATAAAACTCTTACTGAACATGCTGTTGCAATTATGATAAATTCTGGTGCTGCACCTCACTAGTGGGGGGAAATTTTATTGACTGTTTGCTATGTCCTGAATAGAGTCCCCAAGTCAAAATGTAAGATCTCTCCTGATGAGATATTAAAGAAAAGACAATCAAACTTGTCTTATTTGATAACTTGGGGTTGTCTGACTTATGTCAGAATTTCGGATCCGAAACGAGTTAAACTCACTAGTAGAGCATATGAATGTGTTTTCATTCGGTATGCAGCAAACAGTAAAGCATATAGGTTTTATGACCTAAAGGCAAAAGTGATCATAGAATCAACTGATGTTGAATTCTATGAATACAAATTTCCTTTCAAATTGAGAAATAGTGGGGGCACACAATTGAGTCACATTCATGTGATAAGAAGCACAGAAAGCAACGACAATGTAGAAACAAAACTTCAACGAAGTAAACGAGTAAGAGTTGCTAAAGACTATAGGCCTGATTATGCGGCTTATAATGTAGAAGAAGATCCAATGAATCTTCAATAAGCCTTGTCATCTCTGGATGTTTAGTTATGGCAAGAAGCTATCAATGATGAGATATAATCTCTAGAATCTAACAAGACTTGACACTTAGTAGACTTGCCTCCTGGTTGCAAACCAATCGGTTGTAAATGGGTTTTGAAAAAGAAACTAAAACCTGATGAAACTATTGATAAATACAAGGGTTGCCTTGTTGCCAAGGGTTTTAGACAAAGAGAAAATATAGATTTCTTCGACACCTTTTCTCCTGTCACTAGACTTACATCTATTAGGGTACTTATTTCAATAGTTGCTATTTA